TCTCTCTCTCTCTCTCTCTCTCTCTCTCTCTCTGTCTGTCTCTCTCCCCCCTCACCCCCTTCCTCCTCCTTGTTGTTGTTGTTATTGTTTGAAGCAGGGTCTTGTCACATAGCTCAGGCTAACTTCAAACTCATGGTCACCCTGTTTCAGCCTCTTGATTCCATTTGATTACAAAAATAGACCAACACGTCTGGCTATGTTTTTCAAAAAAAACAAAAACAAAAAACAAAACAGGAGCCAGACATGGTAGTGCACACCTTCTACCATGCAGAGGCAGGGCAGGTGGGTCTCTGTGAGTTCAAGGCCAGCCAAGTCTCACAGTGAGTTCCAGGCCAGCCAGAACCATAGACCCTGTCTTCAAAGAAAAAGTAATAAAATAGGAGACAAAATGATTATGACTATTCCAACATAGCCCCAAATATAACTACAATCCTGATATTGAGATATTTTATCCTATAATGTCTGTGTATAGAAGCAAGTAATTTCTTATATAGTATGTATCAGTTAATAAATGTAGTTATCTGTGTATATACATGTGTTATATCAAGTGAGATAAGTAACTATGAATAATATATGTAATTTGTTTATATTTCTAATTTGAGTAAGTAAATTTATATGAGTAAAATCTCATTTTATTTCTTCATTCAATGTTTTTTTATAACTGCCTGTTCACTCTCTTAACTGACATAATTTTCATCCCATGTGTTTGCCAGATGCTTATTCTCCTGTCACTGGATATTTTTTATGATTTTTTTTTATGATATCTCATTTTCCCCAGTTATAAGCATGGTTGTTATAAAGTTCCTTAAAGATTCTTAGTGTATCTTTATGACACATATATAGAACTGGAAATACATATTTTAATACTTAATTTCATGAGATGTTGCTGAATTAATATCCAATGTGGCTTTGCAGGTGGGGGCATAATTCAACAAAACAAGCATTTTTATGTTTGTTTTTATTTAGAAATACTTACTCATAGTTTTTTCCCACCTCTCTTCTGTGCTTAACTTTTCCCTCTTAAGCTTCATTTCTTTTTTTAAAGAAAATATGAAAACTCTAAAAACAGAATAATAAGGAAAGACTTGCCACATTTTTTTTTTTTCCGAGACAGGGTTTCTCTGTGTAGCTTTGGTGCCTATCCTGGCACTCGCTCTGGAGACCAGGCTGGCCTCGAACTCACAGAGATCCGCCTGCCTCTGCCTCCCGAGTGCTGGGATTAAAGACTTGCACCACCAATGCCTGGCGCCACATTCTTTTAAAACATTTCCATAGCCAGGCATTGAGGCTTATGTGTGTAACCCCAGCCCATGGAAGGTGAAGATACAGTCACTGTGGATTCAGGTCCAGCTGGAGCTACATAAAGAGTTCCAGGCATAAGTCAGTAGTGACGAGATAGGGAAAAGGCCATGGGGATATTTGTATAGTGCTCATATAGCAAGGGAAGAAGGACCCTGCTCAACACAAGAAAAGTCATATCCAGCTTGGAAATCATGTTTCTTATTTTAAAAAATTGAGGTCTTGTACTTTAAAATTGTGTGTATCTATTTATGTACACACAAGGAAATTCTCAAGGGAGCAATGACTCTCTTTAAAATTGCTGCAATACCTTGTTTTTCATTTCTAGAACCTTTCGTTTTGAAATACATTTCTAACTTTAATAAGATTTTCAAGAATAGAAGTGTGAACTCCAGTATGTCCTTGTCCTGAATATCTACTCACATGCTATTTGACCCTCTGTAAAATTTACATAGCATTGTTGTTACTCATCTTAATTAGCTTTGCTGAGCCATTTAAGAATATGTTGATATCTTTGTGATGTTTTACTCCTAAATACTGCATAGATATCTTAAGAACAAGGTCATTCTTTAAATACCCACAAAAGAATTGCTAAATTTAGGAATTTAACATTAGTGCAGTGCTATTGTTATTCATTTTCAAATCTCAGTGGTTGTCCTAATAATGAAATTTTCTTTGCATTATTGTCATGTTGCTTTAGCCTCTTTTAATCTGAGGCATTAACATGGCCTTTATCTTTTATGCTGTTCATGGTATTTTGTTTGTTTTGTTGTTTTTCAAGGTAGGGTTTCTCTGTGTAGTCATGGCTGTCTTAGAACTTGCTCTGTAGACTAGGCTGCTCTCAAACTCAGGGATTCTCCTGTCTTTGCCTCCAACTCCATTCCTCCACCCTTGAGTCTGCTAGGATTAATGATAGGCACCACCACACATGTTCATGTTGTTAAAGATGACAAGACATCTATTCTGTAAAATATTCCTTAATTTATAATTATCTAATTTCCCCCTCAGTTTAGGGTACATTCAGTTTATACCTTTTGGGCAGGAAATCACTTAAGTAACATAAATCTTTCTCAGATAATCATGTAAGACAGTGTATGATACTGCTTTGTTCTACGTTAAGAATCTCTTGACCAGGTGTGGTGGCATACATCTTTAATCCCAGCACTCAGGAGGCAGAGGCAAGTGCATCTCTGTGAATTCAAGGCCAGCCTGGTCCATACATTGAGTTCTAGGACAGCCAGTCAAGTCTATCTAGAGAAACATTGTCTCAAGAAAACAAACAAACAAAGTAGAATCTCATGGTTTTTGATCTTTGCAACAAAGCTGTGTTTTGTAGCCCACACTGGGTTGATGTCACTCTGTAGCCCAGGCTGCCCTCAAATTTGTGTCACTAATCCTGCCATAGCCTCCCATGTGCTGGGATTGCAGGTGTGCACCACCACACCAAATCTCAACTTTGATAACTGTGTCAAGATGATGCCTGCCATAATTCCATATTATAATGCTGCATTTCTTCTTATCATAACCAAATGGTCTGCAGAGAGACTCATTGAGACTACCTTAATTGTCTGCTTCCTGTCAGGCTTTAACATAGCGATTGAAAAGTATGCCTGAAGCATTTTTCCTACCTTAGTTCCACAGTGAGAGTTTGTGATGTGTATTTTTTAGGTTGAGGCACACTCTGTGGTAAACACTGGCAGAATGTTGTTGATGTCTGTAATTTCCCAATCTTCCTGCTTACCTTTTATTCTGTAGATGATTCCATGCCTGCGCCTGATGAAGTGAGCACACTCACGGCCATTGCGCTCTTCCTGTGGTCTGCCAGCAGTGAAATAATAGGAGTGCAGTCCCTACAGAATGGCTGCATGAACAGATTTAAAAGTGCTCTGAATTCATGTGACCCATGGGTGAGTTACACTTCAACAGTCTACTTGTCAGGGCTTTTCAGATTAACTCACTGCGATGTGACAAATGCCATAAAAACTTACATGTTTGCAGTATGGCTTTATTTTTTAAACATTGTTTATTTATTATTGTATGCAAATGCGTGGTGTTTATGTGGGGGGGCACTTTGTGTGGCACCACAAGCATTTTTACCTGCAGAACCATCTGGTCAGCCTGTAGTATGGCTTTTAAATTGAAAAACTGTTAATGCACTGTGTATTTAAGCAGTAATCGTGACATATGCTGAAATTCTCCAGTGTCTGAAATATTTTATTAACCCTGGCCATAATTGTAGAGACTTTACATGGCTTTAGTTTTTCAGTATTTGTTTCAGAGATACCAAGAATGTTAAAGAATAAATTTGAATTATTGCATCTTTTAATGCTTCTCAAGCTTGCCACACACCAGGAAAAGATCACCAGTGTAGACTATTCCTGGCCTCCACCCTGAGCTTCCGTAAGTCTTCAGATTTAGGCTTAGAGACCTGTATTCTTAAAATGTCCTCCACGATTTTCTATCTTCAGAGAAATTCGGTAGTTCATTTTCCAACAAAGCACTGAAAGAAATGTATTTCACTGTTTGTCCCATACATTGATGGGCAACCCCCTCCACTTTTTCCCCTCTTGAAAAATGTCAGTACTGTAGTAGGCATGGTGATATATGCTTTTAATTCTAACATTTAGGGGGAAGAGGCAAGCCTATCGCTACAAGTTTGAAACTAGCCTGGTCTACATAGTGAGTTCCAGACTATCTGGAACTATACAGTAAGAACTTCCCTAAAATAAAAAAAGGAAAAAAAATGTTACTATATTAATATAAACTGTTGTTTCCAAAGAGTCAAATGGGGTTGATGTATCTAAACAGTGTAGTTTTGTAGCTTTATTTCAGGTCTGTCCTTTGTTAACCTCCCTGACTACATTGCATTAAAATCAGAGAAACGGGGGCTGGAGAGATGGCTCAGAGGTTAAGAGCACTGACTGCTCTTCCAGAGGTTCTGAGTTCAATTCCCAGCAACCACATGGTGGCTCACAACCATCTGTTATGAGATCTGGTGCCCTCTTCTGGTATGCAGATATACATGGAAGCAGAATGTTGTGTACATAATAAATAAATAAAATCTTTTAAAAAAATCAGAGAGACAATTATATATTAAAGGAAGAAATCAGAATACCTAGTTTCTAACTTTCCATATAGTAGAAAAATATTTGCTATGTAAGGGTGGTAATTTAGTAACTCAAGTATAAGGAATTTCTTTAATCTCCAGTTTTATTTAATTAGCATTAAGTTCCATTGTTCCCCTTTTCATGTTGAGGTGCAATGTGACCGATTAGCAAATAAGATCTTCTACGTGCATTAATTGAGACAGTCTCTCTCTTACACAGGTTCAAGCCAAATGCTACCAGCTTCTCCTCTCCGTCTTTCAGCATGCCAATCGCGCCCTTTCAACTCCTTACATCCACTCATTAGCTCCACTCGTGGTTGAAAAGCTAAAGGCTGTCGAAAGAAACAGACCAGCCAGCAGTACAGAACTTCTGGCTGTCCAGGAAGGAATCAAAGTTCTTGAAACATTGGTTGCTCTTGGAGAAGACCAGAACAGTAAGTGTTTTCTTATTAAAAACCACTAGTCCAAAGTGAAGACCTGTATTATTTATGAATCTTAGTGTTAAACACAGGCTTTGCAACAGTGAGTTTCCCAAGAAGTAATTATGGTCTGAATATATAATGTATCTGCTCATGTTACTAGCATAATGTATTGGGTTTATTTATATTTGTTTTTTATGAGTGAGAAATCACAAGGAATTACCAAGAACATTTTAACACACTGATTTTGTTTTTAATTTTCTAGGTGTGTGTTTTTAAGAACCAGGAACAGCAGATATTTAATAATTTTTTTTTTTTTTTTTGGTTTTTTTCCGAGACAGGGTTTCTCTGTGCAGCTTTGGAGCCTATCCTGGCACTCGCTCTGGAAACCAAGCTGGCTTTGAACTCACAGAGATCGGCCTGCCTCTGCCTCCCGAGTGCTGGGATTAAAGGCGTGCGCCACCAATGCCCAGCTAATAAAAATTTTTAAATAAAATATGAATTACATAAGCCTTATGTTATAACCAGGGAAGTGTAAGTACCGGGTATCATAAGATACCTCAGGATTTGATAACTTAATTTTTTTTTTTTTTTGCTTCATGATTAATGCAACAAGCATTTATTTAACCAGAAATGCATGCCTTATACAAAGTATAAGCTGTGTATACTTAATACACACATACTTAAATGTGATTTTTAATTGTTGTGGAAAAGCTAAAATTTTCAACAAATACCTTATAACTGAAAATTAAGTTGCTCCCAATTTCCAAGACTCTCTTTCCTGTGCCAAGGAATAAATAGCTCCATGACTGAAGGTTCACCTGCAAGTATAAGCCCTGGGCTCCGTGCTAAGCACAGGACTGGGGCTGGGGGTGGGAGTGGGGGGTCTCATCTCTGTCTTCATGTTAAGCTTAAGTATAAATTTGGGCATCTGTTAAGGAATAGCAAGTCAAGTCAGACTTTAAATGCTAAAGAACAGTAAGGTCAGTGCTAACATTACAAAGTGAGTAAGGTTAAGTTCTATTTATAAAGCTTATAGTTAGTAAAATAAATATAATAAAATTACATCATACTTTCTACCCAAGTAACCCATACATTAATTTACTACTTTCTATAGCAGTTTCTTCCAAAAAAAAAAAAAAAAAACCAATCCTGACTATCCTGGGACTCCTCACTTTGTAGACCAGGCTGCCCTCAAATTCATAGAGATAAACAAACGCACGTGCCACCACACCTGGCTGAATGTCTCAATTTTGACACTACTTCATTCTATCCCTGCTGAGATCGAACCCATGGCTTCTTGAATGCTAAGCACATGGTCTGCCACTGAGTTATATCTCCTGTCACACAATAGCTTTTCAAAATTCTCTATCTTTACAATTTGCTGGGAAACCTTTTTGTTAAAAGAGAACACATTTGCAAAGAGGTGAGAAAAGTTAAATGATAATTCAAAGCCTAAAGGTTTACCTTCTTAGAATCATATGACTATATAAAATTTTTAAAAGAATCTAAAAGATGTTGCTATTAAATTAATATCACTCATTCATTAATTCATTGTTCATTTGTTAGTACCCCCCTAGTGTATGTAATCCAGTTTATTTACAATCGGTTTTTACCACTTTTACCCCTGTGAATGGAAATCAAAACTTCATGCTAGGCAAGCACCCTTACCACCGAGCCCCACCTCTATCCCCTTTCCTTTTGTATAACATTTAGTCTTAAATTTTAAGTTAAAAAAAATCTGATTGCTTATTCTATCTCTTAAAAGTCTTGCTGTGTTGTAAAACATTTATAATATAAATAGAAACATGTTTATTATTGGCACATCTTACTAATAGTACAAATTGGCCTGATTTGAGAATGGAAATTATAGCACTTTAGTAGTACCAACGTTTTATGCCTTTATTTGTTGAAAGAGAGTCATTCAGGGACATGGATGGGGCCTGACTGGCTATTAAACTGTAATTGCACAAGCAACATACATTATCTTTTATGTGATATATTGTTTCTATTAACAATGTCAAGCTGCATTCTCTCCAATCAGGCTGATCTTTGCTGTCTTCTTGTTACAGGAGTCCAGTTACTGGCTCTTTTAGTGCCCACTTTGATCTCCTACCTGCTGGATGAAAATTCTTTTGCCTCAGCAAGTTCTGTCTCCAAAGATCTTCATGAGTTTGCACTCCAGAACTTAATGCACATTGGACCTCTGTACCCACACGCTTTCAAGACAGTAATGGGGGCTGCTCCCGAACTGAAAGTGCGCCTAGAAACGGCTGTGCGAGCAAGCCAAGCCAGCCAAGCCAAAGCGGCTGCCCGGCAGCCGGCCCCTGCCACACACTCTGCACCAACAATTAAGCTTAAGACAAGCTTCTTTTAGTGTGTTCTTCCATTCACCTTTTTGTATGTATATTTTGTGTAGTTAGTGACAAGCCCTGCATCATTTCAGACTATGGATTGTTTTATTTGTATATTGGGATTATAATGCTTTGAAATTGATTAAATGAAATAGTGTTCACACCTCTTACTGATTGATGATCATGTGGTAAATATATTTCCATTTTTGTCCTGATGGTATCTTTCTTTGGTTGGCTTTTTTGTTGTTACTGTTTGGGGGTTTTGGTTTTTGGTTTTGTTACTGGTGATTGGACCCAGAGCCTTGCCCTTTCTAAGCATGCACTGTGCTGTGACATATACCCATAGACCCTAATTAACTTATTTTTGTAAACACCAAGCCATAGTCTTTTAAATGTAAATGCTAAAAACATAATTATATCATGTAGTTGGGCAGCCTTTGGCTCTTATCAGGAAAATAAAGTAAGTCAGACTTTTGTCATGAAAAGTTAATTGAGAAGCAAACTGGTTGTAAAATTTCATTTAACTCAAAAAAAGAGAAAAGAAATCTTTGTTTTACAGCAGATATAGTATGAATAAAATCACATTTTCTAACCATTTCATCAAATAATCCTTATCTTTCTGATGGGCCGTTGCTTTCACATTAAACGTCTAAACTATGCTTTGTGTATCTCTGTTGTTAACTGAATTGAAATTCTCATCTGAAGATTGACTAAAGTGTTTTGAATACGCCATGCTATTCTACTTATTTGTTTATTTTTTGGTATTCTTCTTATTTTTAAATGGCTAAAATTTGTCCTGCTTTATGCTTTGCAATTGCAGAGCCTCAAGTTCTGACTGTGGTAGTTAGTTTCATTCATCAAATATTTATTGGGGCCTGCTGTGGATAAGGCATCAAGCTAAGTGCCTGAGGGCACATGGAGAGAATTACAGGTTAGGTGTGCCTCTCGTGCAATGGGAATTTACCATGCAAAACAGGTAACTGGTTCCGTGAATGCTTGTCACACCAGTCAGAAAATTTTAATCACCAGTTTTAGCAGACAATGTAGTTTAGATTCTTTATCAACAAAGGAGTGACTTTTCTAAACATTTGAAACACGTGATGCTATTTGAAATATGCTCCCTGCTGTTTAGTCTCTCATACCCGTACTAATTGGCCCATCTTGGTCTCTTAGACACCTCAAAAAGGTACTAGTCTCATTGGTTTTCTGACTGACTTTTCTTTCTACAGGGTTAATTTTTTGTTTGTTTGTTTTTGGGGTTTTGTTTTGTTTTGTTTTGTTTTGTTTTTGTTTTTTTTTGGTTTTTTGAGACAGGGTTTCTCTGTGGCTTTGGAGGCTGTCCTGGAACTAGCTCTTGTAGACCAGGCTGGTCTCAAACTCACAGAGATCCACCTGCCTCTGCCTCCCGAGTGCTGGGATTAAAGGTGTGCGCCACCAACGCCTGGCCCTCTACAGGGTTGATTTTAATTTCAGACTTGAACTTCCAATGTTTTTCTCCTTCCTTTTTGTTTGTTTTTATTTTTAGTAAAATTCTATTAAAATTATTCCTTGTGTCATGCAGTTTCAGTGGTGGATAACTTCCCTAGCCTGAGCAAAGCCCTGGACTCAGCCCCCACTACCTGGAAAACAAAGTACAATTTGGTGGCATTGGGTATATTAACAGCAATCCAGAGGGAGAAGCCTGTGCCCTTTTAGCTGCTATCTCAGAGTCTCCTCCTTCCCCTCAAGTCTTAGGTTTTCACCTCCAATCTGCTTTCTGTCTACATTTTCACTCTGTGGGCATTTATTATATGGAGTCTTATGTGCTCTGTCATGACTGGTGTCTTGACTCTTATGTTTCAAGGTTCATCCATACTGTAGTGTGAATCATTCTGTCATTCTTTCTAATGGTGGAATATTACACTGTTGTGTGTACACCTTTTTCTTTCTCCACCCACACCTGAAAGATACTCAGGTTTTTCCCACCTCATTCTTCCTTTTTTGTTTGTTTGTTTTTCAAGACAGGGTTTCTCTGTGTAATGCCTGGCTGTCCTGGAACTCACTCTGTAGACCAGGCTGGCCTCCAACTCACAGTGATCCTCCTGCCTCTCCTTCCCAAGTGCTGGGATTAAAGCCACGTACCACCAGCCAGCCCCACCTCCTTCCTCTATGAATATCTTGTAAGTAGTGATGCTCTGAACAGACATGTACAGAATTTTCCATGAACATACTGTTTTGAAACAGTTTCTCATTCTCTGCCCAAGGCTGGCCCCTAACTCAAGAATCCTTCTGCCTTATCTTTCTTACTTCTAGGATTATAGGCATGCATCAAAAAACATGTATTTTAATATCTCATCAGTATCTAGCCAGTAGTGGAATATTGGCTTAAATAATAACTCTATCTTTAACTTTTTAAAGACCTGCCAAACTCTTCTAATATTATTTTTGTACACATGCATGTTTGCACGTAACCCCTTCAGCTCATCTATTTATGTAGACCCTTGTTTTTACCCTGGCTATGTTCTGCTGTTCTTGGTGCCTCCCTGGCTTTTCCTGGTATTTCCCTCTGCAGAGTAGATCACGTCACGACACGTGTTCTTCCCCATTTTCCCCCTCCTCTCCTTTCTCTGTTAATGCACTCTTACACTTGCCCTAACTTCTTCTTCCTTTTTTTTTTTGGTTTTTCGAGACAGGGTTTCTTTGGAGCTTTGGAGCCTGTCCTGGCACTCGATCTGTAGATCAGGCTGGCCTTGAACTCACAGAGATCCGCCTGCCTCTGCCTCCCAAGTGCTGGGATTAAAGGCATGCACCACCAACACCTGGCTTCCCTAAATTCTTCTAATCTACTGTCAACTCTTATTCTGTCTTTGTAGCTATGAAATATCAAGGCCGGCCTGGTCTACAGAGTGAGTTCCAGGAGGGCCATGGCTACACAGAGAAACCCTGTCTCTGGTTGAGGTGGGGATTAGGGATGAAAGCCAGGTAGTGGTGGTACATGTGTTTAATCCCAACAATTGTGAGTCAGAAGCAAGCACCTCTCTGAGTTCAAGGCCAGACTGTTGTGCAGAGTGAGTTCCAGGACAGCCAAGTTTCATACACACACAAAACGGGGGGTGGGAGTAGGGGGAAGGTCTGGGGTGCGCTCAGTCAGTAAAGGGCTTGCCACACAAGTGTGAAAGCAAGCATAGCATAGCATGTAGTGTTTAGTTTGATAAGCAGTTTTTACATGTATATAAATGATAGTATACATATATTAAACACAGCGTAGCACGTCAAGTTTAAATATGGCAGATCACCACTGTCAAGAGCTGCTGGACTCCAGAGATGGCTTGGTTGGTAAAGTGCTTATCTACAATATTGAGGACCTGAATTCAAATCCCACTTAAAAAGTCAGGCATGGCAACCTGCACCTGGAACCCCAGTCTGGGAGCTGGGAGGTGAAGCAGGAGGACACACGCATGTGCACGTGTCCACACTCATGTACATGTATTAGCATTTACACCACGTGCACAGTTTAAGTTTAAAGAGCTGACATCTCTGTTGTGTGATGAGCACTGTACTAACCTTTCTAGGTCCATTCAAATAATGGCAAACGATGGGCATAATTAACCCAAATTTCAAAACATAATTCTAACATTCTATTCTTCACATTTTCTTCATTCTTGATTAAAGTTTTAGGTTGGTGTCAGAAATGGCTAGAAAGGAGTTATAAATAAGTTTCTTGCTTAATACTTTCCACCAAATGAATTATTTTTAAAACCTGACTTAATCATCACATACCATCATACCATTTCTAGTTCCCTCATACCTAGCATCTTATGAGATTATTATTTATGGACTTCATGGTTTAAAAAGGATGTCATGGCTCAGCCATAACTTCGGGAAATTATCCCAGCTGGTGAAGAAGAGTGCAATGGTTATGCATGCACATGTGACCGGTGCCTCCGGGCTGCCACAGCCTGAGTTCAGATCCTGACATAGGAAAGAGGCATTGGCACAAGTAAATGGATTGTCTGACCACCAGATGAGTTTCATACAAGTGGCCGGCCCAGATAGCTCCAGCCATCTTTATTTATACATCAATAACCAGCATGTTTTTCTATATGAACAAACAAGTTTTTCCCATTCTCCAATGTTAACCTCCATCAAAAACAAATTTGTTAAATGTTTTTTCCCTAACTTTTACATCAAAATATCTTTAAATCAAAAACAACATTTACTATTTTGCTAGTTTGGCCAAATATCGGCCCAAGTACATCCTGTCTTTACAAAAGTAAAAGGTGATTGATATAGGCACACATTTTCAAGAACAGCAATCTTGTTTAAAACACATTAGAGAGCCAGGCAGTGGTGTCTCGAGCCTTTAATCTCAGCACTCAGGAGACAGAGACAGGCAGATCTCTGTGAGTTCGAGACCAGCCTGGACAGCCTCCAAAGCCACAGAGAAACCCTGTCTCGAAAAACAAAACAAAAAAAAAAAGAAAGAAAGAAAGAAAGAAAGAAAGAAAGAAAGAAAGAAAGAAAGAAAGAAAGGAAAGAAAGAAAAAGGCTCTCTGCTCCTCCCTGTTCTAGAGATAGTCGCATCTTTTCGTGCAGTGCCAGCCTCGTTCCTGAGACACAGTGGGGAAGGTCGGAGTGATCGGATTTGGCCGTATTGGACGCCTGGTTACCAGGGCTGCCGTCACTTCTGGCAAAGTGGACGTTGTTGCCATCAATGACCCCTTCATTGACCTCAACTACATGGTTTACTTGTTCCAGTATGACTCTACCCATGGCAAGTTCAAAGGCACAGTTAAGGCTGACAATGGGAAGTTTGTCATCAAACGGGACGGCCGTCACTGTCTTCCAGGAGTCAGATCCCGCCCACATCAAACAGGGTGATGCAGGTGCTGAGTATGTTGTGGAGTCTACTGGCGTCTTCACCACCATAGAGAAGGCTGGGGCCCACTTGAAGGGCGGGGCCAAAAGGGTCATCATCTCCGCCCTTTCTGCTGATGCCCTCATCCATGCCATCACTGCCAGACTGTGGATGGCCCCTCTGGGAAGCTGTGGCATGATGGCCCTGGGGATGCCCAGAACATCATCCCTGCATCTATTGGTGCTGCCAAGGCTGTGGGCAAGGCCATCTCAGAGCTGACCCGGAAACTTACGGACATGGCCTTCCATGTTCCTACCCCCAGTGTGTCAGTCATGGATCTGACATGTCACCTGGAGAAAGCTGCCAAGTATGCAGGCATCTGAAGGCCCACTGAAGGGCATCCTGGGCTACACTGAGGACCAGGTTATCTTCTGCAACTTCAACAGTGACTCCCACTCTTCCACCTTTGATGCTGGGGCTGGCATTGCTCTCAATGACAACTTTGTAAAGCTCATTTCCTGGTATGACAATGAATTCGGCTACAGCAGCAGGGTGGTGGACCTCGTGGCCTAAATGGCCTCCAAGGAGTACCCTGGACCACCCACCCCCAGCGAGGACTGGAGCAAGAGAGAGGCCCTGGCTGCTGAGCAGTACCTGTCCAACAACCCCCACACTCATCATCTCCCTCACAGTTTCCACTCCAGACCCCCAGAATAAGGAGGGGCTTAGGGAGCCCTACTCTCTTGAATACCATCAATAAAGTTCACTGCACCCCCTCAAAAAAAAAGAACTTATTAGAGAAATAGGAGTGATCTGCCTCTGAGCCTGTCAGCACTGAATCAGACAGCTCCCAGGGTCTGGAGTGACAGCTGGCATTCCCAGACAAGAACCTG